AGGTGATGCCATCACCTGCAAGTGAATTGGATTTCAGTGAGGCAGGGCTGTGCACTCTCGCCTCCGGAGCCATCTGGGCCGAGTGACCAGATATAGATTGACTGACAATTGAAAAGAGATGACAAAGTTGTACAGGACCTGATCAGCATGACTGTGCAGGTTTCTCCAGCATCATTTAGGGACATGTGAGTAAGAGCTGAGAAAGCAGAGGGGAGGAGTCAGCCGGGGCTGTGGTTTGGTTTGGCCAGGCCTGAGCGCCCGGACGGATGTGCGGCCAAGAGAAGGGATTCCTGACTGAAGGGCAGGGTCCAGATGAGTAAGAGAGGCCAGAGCAGAGCAGGGGATGGCCTGGGCACTCCCAGAGGGATGGAGACACTGTAGGTCACAGAGTAGATGAAGAAAAAGGTTGAGGGTGAGTGAGGTGCAAGCAGGAAGGAAACTAAGGAAGTCAGATAAACGAACTTTAGAGTTCTTAATAATGATAAGAAGAAGAAGAATGACAGCTAATATTTATACAGCACTTTAAGGTTTGCAAAGCACTTTACAAATATTAGCTCATTTGATCCTCACAACAGCTCTGGGAGGTAGGGACTATTATTATTCCCATTTTATTAGGGGATGAGGAAACTGAGGCAAACAGGGTTGAGTGATTTGCTCAGGGTCACACAGCTAGTGAGTGTCTGAAGCAGGATTTGAAGTCAGGTCTTCTTACTCAACAGCCAGTACTCTACCACCTAGTTGCCTTAAGGGGGGAAGTAGAACTCTTTTGGGTGATGGGGAGACCAAGCGTAGATGACGGCAGGCTGAGGTAGAATGAAACACCTGAGTGCTTCAGAGGCAGCTGGTGGGGCAGGGGACAGAACACTGGGTCTGGAATCAGGAAGACCTGTGTTCAAACATGACCTCAGACACTTACTAGCTGTGTGACCTTGGATAACAATAGGAGCTGCCTTGCAGGGATATTGCTGTGTGACCCTGGGCAAGTCACTTAATGCCTGTTTTCCTCAGTTTCTTTATCTATAAAATGGGCATCAAAACAGTACCTGGCCCCTCAGGGTTGTTGTAAGGATAAAATTTTATAAAAAGTGCTTAGCATAGTGCCTGGCATATAGTAAGTGCTAAATAAATGTTAGTCATTATTATTATTTACTTATTTGTATACACATTATTTCCCCTAAGAGAATGAACACGGTATCACCAGCATAGGACCACAGCTCTGGGACAGGAAAGGACCTCAGAGGTTATCTAATCCATTTTACAGATGAGGAAACTGAAGGCCAGAGAGGGTAAGTGACTTGGTCAAGGTCACACAAGTAGTTAGCATCTGGGGCAGAACTTGAACCCAGGTTCTCAGGCTTCAGGGGCTGGTCTTTTCCCACGGCCTCCTCTTTGCTGTCAGGATGGATAGGTGCACTGCGCTTTATGCAGCTGGTGTGTTTCGGAGACTCTTTGAGCATAAAATGAGTTTCCATAAATAGATCTGGAGATCCTCCTCACTTCTCTTCTGTTTTCCCCTGATCCTTTCCTTGAGAGCAATGGGGAAGTCTGCCAGGGGACACTGTGACCGCTTGTTGTCATAGACGCCAACAGGGATTCCTGCTCAGGTCTGGGTTAGACTGGCCCATTTGTTGTTTATTGTACACAACGTTCCATTTCCCATCAATGTGCCTTTGTAGAGGCTGGGCCCCAAGCCTGGAACACACTCCTTCCTCCTGCTTCCTTCAAGGCTCAACCCAAGTGCCCTCTCCAACACGGCCTGTTCCTCATTTGTATTACTTATCTCTGAGCACCTTAAAATGTCTCCAAACCGAATGCAAGCTCTTTGTATTTGCTTTTGTCTTTGTATTCTCAGCACTTAGCACAGTGCCTGGCACGTAGTCGGCACTTAATAAATGCTTGTTGAATGACTGGATGGTCTATGAGGTCTTTGCTGACTCTGAGATTCTGGGAAGGCAGTGGACTAGAGTAGATAACCTCAGGATCAGTTTCGACTTTGTGAAATTATGAGTGGCTTTCTGTTAAAATACAGAGCAGCTAGGTGGCACAGCGGACAGAGCCCTGGGCCTGGAGTCAGGAAGACTCCACTTCATCCATTCATCCATCTCAGGATGGATGGGCAGACTGTACTTGATGCAACTGGTGTGTTTCTGACATTCTTCGAGTATAAAAGGAGTCTCCATAAATAGATTTGGAAACCCTTCTTCCTAAGTCCAAATCTGACCTCAGACACTTACTAGCTGTGTGAACTTGGGCTAGTCAGTTAACCCTATGTTCCTCAGTTTCCTCATTTGTAAAATAAGCTGGAGAAGGATATGGCAAACCTTACCAGTATCTCTGCCAAGAAAACCCCCCAAAAGGGGTCATGAAGAGTTGGACACAAATGAACAGCAACAACATATTAAAATAGCAAACAGTGGATAGAGCACTGGCCCTGAAGTCAGGAAGATCTGAGTTCAAATCCGGCCTCAGACCAAACACTTGACACTTACTAGCTGTGTGACCCTGGGCAAGTCACTTAACCTTAATTGCCTAAAAACTAAAAAAAAAAAAAATAGCAAACAGGTTTAGGGATAGAGATGAGCCTGATATAAAGTCTATTTTTCTAAGAAATTGTTACCTTGCAATAAAAAGACATGGAAAATCTCATTTTTGGTTAGATACAGGATTCCTCTGCCTGGTTTTTTTTTCAGGCCCTTGGCTGGGGATGGTGACTCATAGCTTCTGCTGTGGACTAAAAGAGTCATCAGGCTGCCTTTATGAGAAAGAGGATTTCCAACCATAGAGCCTCATCTGACATGAGCTGATTCACCATCAGCTGGCCTGGAAGAGTTGAAGCCCAGAAACTGGGAGCAGAGAGAAGTTCCGCCAGCACATAAATAGCGAAGATACCTGGCAGTGACCACAAACCCAAAAATACAATGTTCCATAGAAAAGCAGAAAGATCAGTTTCATGACATCACTTTAGCAGCTGGGCAGTTTCAGAGACGTGAATTGCCTAGGCTGCCTATGTACCGTGGTCAGACAGATTCATAGTATATGATTCTTTCCACAGGTTTCCCATCTATATGAATATGTCTGCTTTTCCTGTAGAAAATGTATGAATATATGGGATAGTGTATGACATAGGTTGACAGGGACAAATGTTTAGTCACTATTTGAAAGGTTTGTTTTCTATTTCTTCAAATGCCTTTATTTAGAACTAAATGTGTTCTTTGACTAACTAGGAAAAGTCAACACATTGGTGGGGGCTCATGAGTGATAGTTTTGAGTAGATATACACCCAGAGAGTTCCTTGAATCTGGGGAAAGATTTTCTATGGGAGACAACACACAATCTGGAGAGCTACAATGTATATATACTTGATACTTATTTCTCTATATTCATGTCAATATCCTCAGTAATATGTAAGCCCCTTGAGGGCAGGAACTTTTAAAAATCTTTTTAATAATTATTATAGTGAACATTTTTATAGTACTTTAAAGTTTGTAAAGTATTCACACATATATCTAATTTGATTTTCACAGAGGTAAGTGCTATGATTATCCCCATGTTACAGAAGAGGAAACTGGATGACAGAGGATGACTTGTCTAGGGTCACACAGCTAGCAAGTGTCTGAGAAAGGATTCAAAGGCCAGGAATTCACAAGCCAGTTACACTGACCTAATTGCAGTTCCTCAAACATATCATCAACTGTCTTCATGCTCTTGCACTGAGAAAGGGATAAGCATTTATTAAGTGCTTATTGTTTGCCATGCATTTTTCACAAATATTTTCTCATTTGATCCTCATAACAACAGTGTGAGGTAGGCACTATTATTTCCCCCATCTTACAGCTGAAGAAACTGAGGCGAATAGAAGTTAGGTGACTTGCCCAGGGTCACAAAATATTGTTCATGAGAACAAACCTCAAAATGTAAAATAATTTCAAAAAGAAATTTATTAGGTTGTTTGGTAAAGAGAGAGAGTTGTAAGGAAGGGGTGGCTCCTTCTCCCCAAGCTCTGGAAGGTTTATATTATATAGTATTTGGATAAGAACACTTGTTCATGAACATGTATGAGAAGACAACTTGAAAGCAAGGTAGATTGAGATGGATATCAGTAAATGTAAACATTCAATAAAATTAAGGCAAAGTCAAAACACAAGAGGAACCCCAAACTCAAGCATGGGTGGTCCCAAAACAAAACCTCTATACCGGGACCCATTTTGGGTGGATTCAGGACCCAGGTGAATTCAAAACTCCTTTTAGCCGTTTCTGGCATTCTTGGAGAGTTACTGAGCTCAGGGTGACATTCTGGGTTCAAACAATCTCTCGTCACATAAAGTTAAATTCAAATAATATAATAAATGATAAATAATAATCCACAGTCCACAAAGTTTATTTTAGAGATCAGGCTAACCTCAGAGATCCTCTAGGGAAACCAGATGGTTGTAAGGAATGCTTAGATCTCACCCAGGGCTTGTTTTGGGTCTACCAAAAATTCATGTTTCGGGTTCCAAAATGAGATTGAATTATCTTGTTGATATATATTTCAAAATGCCCTCCCTTGGAGACTATCTACCGCCTATGTGAGGCCAATTAGGCAAATGTCTTTATGTCCTGGTCTTGGTCTGAACTCTATATAATGTCATCTTACACAGATTTGGGGAGGGAGCCATCCTCTCTCTCTCTGTCTCTCTCTTTCTCTCTCTCTTTGTCTCTCCCCCCCCAAAAAAAACCCAACCTAATAAATTTCTTTCTAAAAAGATTTCAGATGTTGGGGTTTGTTCTCGTGAACAACAGTTAGGAAGTGTCCGAAGCTGCATTTGAATTCAGGTCCATGCTGGAAATGAGAGTCCTGGGCTTGGAGTCTGGGAAGCCCCAGGGGATTCAGATGAACTAGAATATATATTTTGTGAACCCCTGGTGCTTCATACCCGTCTGGGAGCATGAGAACGGATGCTAGATCCAGAGGTGGAAGGGACCTTAGAAGTGGGACTCCCATGCCCTCATGTTACCCGATGAGGGTCAGGAGACCCAAATAAAGAAAATGACTTGCCTAAAGCCAGACAGGTGTTCCACCTTGGGTCCTCTCTGATGCTAAATGCCCCCTTCTTTTCACTCTCGCTCCATCATTTCCCGTAGTCAGCGTTACTTAATACTTTCAGAATGAATTTGCTCAATTCAATCAGCAGGTATTTATTACACACCTTGCTACGCGCTAGGCACTGTGCTGGATGCCAGGGATAGAGGATATTCAGAGTTTGGAGTCTGGAGAGCCCCGGGTTCAGATTTGACCTTGGAGATTCCAGTGATACAGCGGGAAAAGCCCGGGGTCCAAGTCCCACTTCTGTGCTACTACCTGTGTGACTTTACCTCCCTGGGCCTCAGTTTCCCCTCTGGGACTAGATGACCTCTGAAGTCCCTCTAGCTCTGAATCAATGATCCTATGACCTATTATTTGTACAAATTACCGCCCCCCCCCCAGCCTCAGTTCCCTCTCCGTAAAAAGAAGGGGAGACTGAGTTAAGCAGCCTTTGGTTCCTTCCGGCTCGAGATCTGGGAGCCTGGCGCTTTGCCTCAGTCTCTCCACCTGTAAATTGGGACAACAGGAGGTTGCTGTGGGGCTCAAAAGAGATAATGTCAGTACGATGGCTTAAGCTTAAAACCGTAACGACCCGAAAGGCTCCATCTGGGTCAATGTCAGTGTCAGGAGTTGTTAACTGTTGCTTCCTGCCCACTCCTCTCGGCTGCAGCAGCCACCTCCGCCTCCTTCCGCGTGGGGGCGCCAGAGCGCAGAGGCCTCGCCGGGGCGGGGCGAGCCCAGGGGCAGAGTGCCGGGACTGAGCGCGCAGGCTCACGCGCACGCGCAGTCGTGGGCCTTCTCCATCCGGGTCTCGCGCCGGCGGGATCTCCGTGCTCAGCTCGCGGCTGGCATGGCTGGGCTCGAGCAGCCGGGGAATGGCGGGCGGGGGCGCGCGGCCCGGAGGGGGGGTCCCGGCGGCGTGAGGACAACGGTGTCGCGCGAGCTGCTGCGCGCGGGCTGCGCAGGCGCAGGCGGTGAGAGCTGGCTAGCCGGTGGGGGAGGGGTTGGGAGGAGGGACTGTCCCCAGGACTTTATTAAGTAGGGACCCCCTCCTTGGGGGAGTGGGGGTGGGGGTGGGTGGGCAGTCCCGAGGGTTTAAGGTACTTGTCCTCGATCACTTCGCTAGCATGGGCAGAGGAGGGACTTGAACCCAGGGCCCTGCCCATCGGTTGTGTGGTGAAATGCCCCAGAGCAGCTCTGACATCCCTGTTCTAAGACCCCTCCCAGCTGACATCCCATGTTCTAAGACCC